TTGCTCTATTTATTTTCAAGAAAGTTAAATTACGTTTATCAGAAAGTTTATTAATAAACTACGTATATCACATCCTGTATCACGTCTAATATCAGAGTTATGAACAAAGACTTAGTTTCGGCATATGTCAGCTATTACGACATATGCTGTTACGACACTTTTGACGTAACCGTTCATCTTTTTGACGTAACCCTACGGCACCAATTTTCTGCACCTCTAATTGAGAATTTCCAAAAACTCTGTCTTATAAGATGCCTTTTCCGGCCTAATATTAATTTTTTAAAAAATCTTAATACAATAGCTTTATAACATGCTGAGAACTTAATTTTTTTGTGTAAATAATGGTAACGCTGCCGAATGACTAAAATAACCCTTTTTTCTCATATGTGAACTGCCGAATAACTAAAATAAGCTTTTTTTCTCATATGTGAATTGCCGAATAACTAAAATAAGCTTTTTTCTCTTATGTGAGCTGCCAAATAATATTAATTATGCGGATGTAAAGGAATAAATGGAATAATTGATGTTTGTATGATAAAAATTTCCAATTTGATAGCGGAAGTATTCCCCGTCCCTGCTCCTGGTTTTCGTTTGGTGACACTCATCTATTTTTAAAATTTTTGGTTTTTTTCTTGGCGATATTTAACATTGCTTTGTGAATATTATTTGTGACTTCTTTGTGGTGCAACTAGGATTGGCTTGTTGTCAAATTTTATATTTAAAAAAATAGCAAGTATTGCAATTATAAAATACAATATAATATCATGTGTTATATAAATTACTAATATATAAATCTTAAATCGGAACATTATGACATATTATATTTTATAAATAATATGATATTTAATTTAAATTATATGTGATCTTAATAACATAGATAACATTATTTTTAATATTCATTTTATTAATAATGATAATTACATAAAATTCGATCTTGTGGTTGAGGCCTTACATCTTTTCACAACAAAAAGAATGCTTGCAAAGATTACGGCTAATTTCTAAAGAGACGCAAAGTTGTAATTTTGCGGCAGGCATCACTAACGATGCTAATCAATTTTCAAATACAAATAATGCCTTAAATAAATTACATATAGATATATAATTTGCACAAACCCAAAAAAATATGCAGAAGTAACAAAGATTTATAAATAATAAGTCGTCACAAAGTCTATAAAATGAATATATTTTGTAAATAAATTAAGTAAAGAAGTTTTTTGAACTTTACCAAAATGAAAAATACGAACTTTTTGATACTAATAATTGTTCTATATTTCGAAAATTTATATTATGCTACTGTACTAAAAATAGTACTGTATATTTTTGTCATTGATTTCGAAAATGGTAATCTGTGCAATTGTTTTAGAACTATATAAGATAACAAAGATCACTTTTATCATAGCTAATTTAGGTTAAACATGAGTAATACGACGGAAATTTGATTTATTGGTTTGTACAACAAACGTTATTCCAGATTGTAGCGATTCGGTATGATACGAAATTGAGATAAATAAAAGCCTTTTAAAAAAACAAAGTTTCATTTTCTGGTTTCATCTGATTATTTTAAAAAACAAAGAATCAATGTTTTTCATTTTTAATGAAATATGGTTTTACAATTCTTTCAAAGATAAAATAAAACGGCAACTGTTTATATTAATTGTAACATGTCTAGAACATAGTCTTAGAAATCTCTTAGTCTTGGAATACTACTATCATGCTCTCTACCATGTATCGATTATACTTGAGATTTTTCATAAATAGATGTATTTTTCCTTTAAAATTCTCCATTATCCTCTTTTGAAAATTCGAATCTCCTATCTTAATTAATCTCATTTATTCCGAAATATTACATAAATTCCCGAAATTCTCGGGCCCCCTCTTTTCTATCATTGTTCCGATTCATCATGGATCACATAATGAAAAGCATTCACTACCTTTACATTCTTCCTTCATCATTTATCGATAAATTTAATTACTTAAATGTATCAAAAATAATTTTGCTTACATTTAAACATAATAATCGATCAAGTTTCTTAAAAAATTTGAGAACCATTTTTATTTTTTATTTATTCTTAAATTTTATCCCCACTGCTGTTGCAGTAGAAAGTAAAATTACTTAAATGTGATAATCGTACGCCCAGATAGTAACGGAAAATGCCCATCAAGTAACTACAGTGATTACAAAATTTATAGTGATGCATTCTCTCAATTATCAGAGTTCGTCACTTATGCAAGCGTTATATTTAATATTGCTATTTATGGTGTAACATCTAGACTTAGTATGAGGACAACCTTTTTCTTGGATGATGTTATAATCCTATTATCTTCATTAGCACCTATTTATTTTTGGTATTTTACTACTAAACCAATTTTACACGTTATCCGGGGTTATAACAATACTATCAATTCTGATAATAATACTATCAATCCTGATAATAATACTATTTTAGTGATCTTAGTGGTTTTGTTAGTATTATTTTTTGTAATCATTTGTGCAGTAACTTTTTTTATCTGGTGTTATAACTATGATTTCAATCGAAACCATAAAAAAGAGTCCTTAAAAATCATAAGAGCGGGTATGGAGATTATTATTAAACGCATCCGATCGTTTATTGTTTGGATTTATTTCTTTCATTCAATCGTGATTTTATATTTTGATATAACTAGTAATAATTATAAGTCTAACATTACCCTTTTAAACTTCTTTGAATTCGACTTTTTGGATTTTTTAGTCGATTGCATTTATTTCATATTGACTTTTTATCAAGTTGCATCATATTACCTTTCATATCCTTTATATTGCTATTATGAAACCTTGAAGAAAAATGAGAAAAAATCTATCACTGGAAAATTTCTTAAATTCTTCTCTAAAAAATCCAAACACATTATCAATAAGCGTTGCTTTTTTTTAATAGTTTTCTTGTCAATCATACAGTTATTTTTTGAATACGCTAATTATTGCACACCTCCTTATATTGATGCAATATTCAATGCTATTATGGCTACTGTTTTGACACGTACTGTTGCATCATTCTTTTCTAATAATGGGGTCATCATCAGTAAAAATATTGCAAAAAAGGGAATTAATATTAAAGAAAAAAATATTGTTCTCGCAATTACTGAAAAAAAATATATAAGCGAATTTGATGAAGTCTACAAAATTGAAAAGAAGCTTTACACCAAATTAACCATTATTAAAAATGATAATCAAAATGATAATCAACATGAAGATAAGATGGAAAAACGCCCTAAAATTATAAAATTGGGATGTGAGAATGCTATTTCAGTAGGTGGTGGATGTGAATGTGAATGTGAAAAATGTAAATCTTTGAACGAAATTGACGTTGAAAAAGGAATGGAGAATGATCAGTACGTATATGCAATCTGTCTCACCGAAATGGGATTACTTGATTATATTGTTTATCATCATCGAACGACCTATAATTCAGATTCAAACAAAGATTAATCTACCTATATGAGTTATTTTTTCTTGATCTTTTATTATTATTTTTTTTTTACTGCAATTTAATCCCCTTAGTCTTGCAATTTTTATTTTTTCAGATAACTTAAATTTTACAATAGAACGCTTTTCTAAGAAAGCATTGAGATCTCTGTGATTTTATTTATACTTAACATTAAAATGTTTAATATTTTGTCAAATAACAAATAAAGTCTTGGATTAGATTCATTATTAAATGTTAAACACAATAAAATTTTGTTATCGAAAATAATAATCATTTTTTGGCTATAACCAAACCAATTTTTTGCTTAAAGATACATTCTGATAGTGATATTTTATGACCTATATCAATGCGTTTATCATATCAGTTTATGAAATGTTCTCATGATTTATAAAATCCTAATTAATTATAAAATTTTTCATAGAATATGGTTTCAGCCTTCACGTCATGCAAAAAATGCTTCATATAACAATTACAATTGCATATTTCTTAAGATAATTGCATAGCACAGACATCTAGTTCGTGCATTTTTGAATCTATTATACGTATGAATACAAAAATAAAATAAAATAAAATAATTAATTAATTATATACTTTTAACATTTTAATAAACTTCAAGAATTACCTCTGAATTTAGCTGATTCATATGCTATCTTAATCTCTTTAGTGTTTATCAATTTACTAGTATACATTGAATTTTGATAATTCGGAATGGTAAACTTGTGCTGTTTTGATTTCTTAATTAGCAGAAATAAAACACCTTTTAATATAAGATATCTAGGGATTCGTCATAATCATGCGCCATTCTGAAAGTTTTGAGCTAATATCTTTAGCACTAGGTCGATTATTTGGATCTGAATCCATTCATTGTTTGACTAATTTAATATAGCAATCGGGTGTTTTTTCAGAAAATTCAGGTCGTAATCCTCTACAAATATCCAACGCAAGTCTAAAGTCGAACTGATAGCCATGAAAAGGTCTTTGTCCAGTTGACAATTCTGTCATAATAACGCCCATACTATATATATCAGCTGCTTTTGTATATTGTTCACCTAATAAAATTTCTGGTGCAATATATGGCATAACTCCATAAACTTCACCTTTTGAAGCTGATTCTTCTAAATTCTTGGATAATCCTAAATCAGTAATAAAAGACTTTGTAAAAATACTTTTACGTGAATCTAACAAAACATTTCCACTATAAAATCACAATGAACATAATCTAATTCATAAATTTTAGCCAAATCATTTGATATATCTATAAGGCAAGTCAATTTGCTTTTCCAATCAAGTCTTTTAAAATTTGATATTAAAAAATCATACAGGTTTCCCCTATCGGCATACTGAAATACCATAAGGTATGTCTGAGTTTCTACGTCCTGAGTTATTCCATATATATCAAGTCCGAGACCATTTAATCTACATTGGGCGTGATTTTCGAACTTATTTAATTGGAGATATAATTATTGTCAGAATAATAGTACATGTATAATATATATTATATAACACTTTGTAAAAGTTGTGATTTTATGTGATTTAAGAATCAATTAAATGAACTTAAGTAGTCTATACTTTGCAATAGCGTGATCAAAATAAGTAGTATCTTCATCCTTTCAAATTTTATGCATATGGGATATCAAAAAAAACTAGAGGGCAATATTTTTCTTCATAACCAAGCCTAGAAAATTATCAATACATACCAGAGGTTTTTTTTTAAAAAAAGGGCAGTAAATTTATAGAATTTACACTGCTTTTAAAGTTATCAACTCGTTTTTGAGAATCTTTTACATATAGGGTTTTAGCGATTTTAAAATTGAAATCAATACGTAATTGTCAAGAATAGACTACTTAAACCATATACTGTTTAAAAAATATAATTGATATAATTTTTTGATCTGATATTTTTTCACAGTTATCACAAAAAGCATACATATATTTTTGCAAAGTGCTACAATAAAGCATTAAACTTACTTCTTTTAAAACGCTAAGAGTTTTAAGCGCGAGTTTGCATGATTGTTCACGTGCTTGTAAATTATTTTTAATAACCAGATTGCAGAAAATATTGTACCAAATCCACCTTTACCAATGATTTCAAAGTTAGCTAACCTATTAAATGGAATCCATTCAATCAAATTCTCATATTTTGTAGTTTTTATCTGAAGACCTTTTACATTGTCATCGATTTCTTTATTTCCATTTGTCCACCCTTGACTTATTCGCTGCGGATCGCATGATTGACACCAGGTTTTCGAAGTATTATGTTGATCACAAATTACACATACACTCAAAAATTTACATTTTACCAAATCATTATATGAGTTTTCATATCTATTCATCATGCGATAAGCGACTCCACGGTTTCTTAATACAAATTCATTATTTGGTTCAATTTCTAATGATTTACTTAAATCTGTAATTGATTCCTCATATCTATTCATTATGCGGTAGATTGCTCCACGGTTTCTTAATGCAAATGCATTATTTGCTTCAATTGCTAATAACTTATTTAAATTTTCAACCGTTTTTTCAAGAATTCTTAATGCTACTGCATTATTTGGTTCGATTTTTAATGATTTATTTAGATCCTCAAGTGCTTCTTCATATCTATTCACCATTAGATTAGTTTCTCCATGATTATTTAATACGACTACGCTGTTTGGCTCAATTTTTAATGATTTATTTAAATCCGCAAGTGATTCTTCATATCTATTCATCATGCGATAAATTTCTCCACGAATTCTTAATGCAAATACATTATTTGGTTTAATTACTAATAATTTATCTAAATCTTCAAATACTTTTCTAAGAATCATTAACGCGAATTCATTATTTGGTTCAATTTCAAATAACTTATTTAGATCTGCAAGTGATTCTTCATAACATTTCATCATATAATAAATTTCTCCACGGTTTTGTAATGCCAATGTATTATTTGGCTCGATTTCTAATAATTTATTCAAATCTTCAAACATTTTTCTAAGAGTTCTTAATGTGAATGATTTTTTGGATCAATTTTTAATGATTTATTTAAATCTGCAAGTGATTCTTCATATTTCTCCATCAAATAATAAATTTCTCCACGGTTTTGTAATGCCAATTCATTTCTTGGATCAGTTTCCAATATTTTATTTAAATCTTCGAGTATTTTATAAGAATTCTTAATGCGAATGCATTATTTGATTCAGTTTTTAATGACTTATATAAATAAGCGAGTGATCCTTCATATCTGTACTTCAATCGATAAATTTCTCCACGACTTCTTAATGCAAACGCATTATTAGGTTCAATTGTTAATAACATGTTTAAATATTTAAATTCTTTTCTAAGAATTATTAGTGTGAATTCATCATTTGGTTCAATTTCTAATAATTTATTTATCGCTTGATGGGACTTTTGATAAAATCTGTGGGTCACTGCATGCCCGATTGTCCGATTGCAATTGATTGTACATGTTTGTACGTGATTGTGCGTGATTGCATGCAATTTCTCAGCGAATATTTTTTTATTTGAATTTTATGGATCTATAGAATTCAAATAAAAAAAAAAATTTCATCAAATTTGATAAGTGGTTGCTGAGATATCATCGCTCGGTTTTTTTTAAAAAAAAATATCATTAATAGAAACTGCGCCAAATTTTTCCTAAAACTTTGAGCAGATATATTACAACAACCACATAAACAAATCTGATGAAATTTTTTTTTATTTAAATTCTGTAGATTCATAGAATTCAAATAAAAAAATTTCATCGAATTTGATCAGGCGGTTGCTAAAATATCTTCGTTCAAAGTTTTTAAACATCAAAATGGAAGCTGCACCAAATTTTTCCTAAAACTTTGAACGAAGATATTTCAGCAACCATCTGATTAAATTCGATAAATAGTTTTTTATTTAAATTCTAGGGATCTATTGAATTCAAAATAAAAATTATTCATCGAATTTGATAAGATAGTTGCTGAGATATCTTCGCCTAAAGTTTTAAGAAAAAAGCTTATATTTTGATATCATGATGAATATTCATGGTATTCATCCTGATTTTGAAAAGTTCGGTCTAAAGTGATTACTGCGCAATAATTAGGAGAGGGCCAGAAAACACGTGTTTTTTATTTTGACAAAACTACCCCTCCCCCTAGGTTTCTTATCTTTTCTATTTTTCTTTATATAGTTGTGTTTTTTGAAAAGACCCCTCCCCCCAAAAGAAAACACATATTTTCTGGCCCTCCCCTAAGACTTTTAGAGAATGTATTAAAATTTTATTTTATAAAATTTTAGATCAAATATACAAGAACTTATGGAGTTACTAAATTTTTCGCTCTTGAATTAAGGTGAATTTGATTTTTTTTAAAAAAAAAACTTTGAGTGAAGATTTCTCAGCAGCAACCTGATCAAATTTGATGAGTGTTTTTTTTTTTTTGAATTCTATGATCTCTAGAATTCAAATAAAAAACTTTTCATCAAATTTATTAGATAGTTGTTGAAATATCTTTGCTCAAAGTTTTAGAAAAAATTTGGCGTAGCTTCTATTTTTGATGTTTAAAAACTTTGAACAAAGATATTTTAGCAACCGCCTGATAAAATTCAATGAAAAATTTTTATATGAATTCTATAGATCTATAGAATTCAAATAAAAAAAAATTCTTTGAATTTGTTTATGTGGTTGCTGAAATATATCTGCTCAAAATTTTAGGGAGTTTCTATTAATAATAAACATTGATATTTTTTTTTAAAAAAAAAACTGAGTGATGATATCTCAGGAACCACTTGATCAAATTCAATGAATTTTTTATTTGAATTCTATAGATCTATAAAATTTAAATAAAAAAAATAGTTGCTAAGAAATTGCATACAATCACAATCGGACAATTGGGCATGCAGTAACCCACAGATTTTATCAAAAGTCATATCAATTTGCAAACAGCAATAAGTAACTACGGAAAGTGAAAGTCTCAAAGCTGGGATTTGAATTTTGTAGGGAGACAAATTTGATTCTTTATGAAATAACATGCCA